CCGGCTGCGTGCGGAGGTGACACACGTTCGTTCCCAAAAGCGTAAAAAGCTGAAACACGGATGTGAGCCCTGGCTGAGCGCGCGCCGGCCCGTGCCCCCCTGCCTGCGGCGCTGGGGAGCAGAGCTGGGCCGCGGGTCGGCGCAGCAGCCCGGGTGTCACACGATGGGCAGCGCCTGTGCGGAGCGAATGCACCGTTTTAAACGCCTCACCTGTGTTTTATTTTGCTAGGCCAGGCCGAGCCCCAGGCCTCTGGCTCGGTGCCGGCGGGGCCGAGCAACGCGAAGTTTGCCCACTCCTGCTGCGACGCAGGTGCTTCGCTGCCTGCCGTTTGCGTCGCCTGAGTCAGCGGCAGGCGTCGCCGATTAATGGTGATACCTGGAGATAACAGCTGGGAGCACGGGCTGTACCCTCGGAGAGAAGCCGCGGGAGCACCGCCAGGTCACGCGTTAAGCGAGGGCCAGGTACGTCCTCGCTGCAGAGGTCGTGCATCTCGCTCTGGCTTTGCAGTCAGTAGCGCGGGGCAGAGCTTGGCCTGGCAAAGCTGCGAACATCTTTCCGAACCGGGGCATTGTCAGGGCAGCCTGGCGCCGTCACCTGTCGGGCCTCCAAAGACCACATGTTTCCCTTTAAATTCACAGCTAGGATGAAGTTGTCCGTCTTCCCTGCAACCACAAAGAGTGCACTCTTGCTGTTCCCCTTCGAGTGAACGCCGGCACGCTCAGGAAATAACCTCACTAGCTCTTTAAAACCTCAGCACACAATATTGTGAAATATCTGGTACAGTCTGTAGCACTGGCAGCAGTGAAAGCAAACAATATTTTGACGCACGGTTTTCACCAGAAATGTGATACAGCAATCCCTCGGCATAATGCTACGAGCAGCATTTTGCAGTTCATGACAGCGCCGACGTAGCTGCGTTTATGCCAAGAGTCAGCTGGGGAGGTGGGAGGGACCCGCGGGCTGCAGACAGCGCCTGTCCGGAGTTGCACAATGTGATTTAGCCCACAGCCCTGGGGAGCATCTGCAATGCTGGGGACACGAGCAGGGGGGCTGCTGCCCCCACGTGCCACTGTCCTTCCAGGAGCTCACAGTTTCCTTCACACAGGCTCTGGCTTTCACATCTGCGGCGTCTCCTGGGACATGGTTTCTGCTCCGTGCGTCTGCTGTGGTATCTTTTGTTGGTTTTGAATTAGCTCCCCCTTGTCCTGCATGGGGGAGGTCAGAAGCAGGGCAAGACCTTTCCATCCGATCCCTGCCCGGGGTGGGGGTTACCCCAAGCCTTGCCTTAGAGGACACCCCACCACCTCTTGTACTACTCGGGACACCGGTGTTAGACCCAGAGGAGGCAAATAAGGCAGCAGAATCTTGAAATACGTGCTCTGTGTGTAGTAAACAGTGTAGTTTCACTTCCAGCCTTGCTGGCTGGGAAAGGTAGGGCGGCCTGTTGAGAAACCCCAAACTTTGGAGGCAGCCTCAGCAGCTCTGGCCCCCAGCTCACAGGTTAGCCGGGGCTGGCACGGCGCGTGCTTGCCGCGCGGATCAGCACCGCGGCTGCCGCTGTGTTTGGTCCGGTGCAAGGTCCCGCGTGCAGGTGATGTTGACGCCCAGCTGCTGGGTAGCCACATCACCCTCCTACGCGGGCCAGTGCTGCAGGCTGTGCAGCCCGACGGCCGCCAGGACACTGCCTGCACCTTGGGCTGGGGGGGCAGCAGCAGCACAGTGACCAGCACCTTTCCCGACGTGAGCAGTAAGGAAAGGCAAGCAGCAGCTCCGGCGCACGGCTGGTATGTCCGACAGCTGCAGCTCAGCGTGCATCCTTCTGCTGTAAGGAGTGATCTGTTCCCTCTCTCCAATTTGTCTTCTGCTAGGCCACATTATAATTTGCTGGTGAGTCACAGGCATTGCAGCCTGTGCTAATACTTGCAAGAAATACCTTTCCTGAGCGCAGTCTGAAGCCTGCGATAGTCCGAAGTCACAGAGTTATCCTGACTTACTGCACCGGCAGCGGGGACGGTGGTGTTTCAGCAGAGCCACCAGCGCACCAGGCCGTGCTTCACCGGCTGGCAGGCTCCTGCCCCAGAGCCTGCGCGTGCTGACCAAAGGCATAGTGTGTTGCTGGTGGCAGTGATGTTGCAAATGATGCCTGCCAGTCCTTGCACCTGCAAATATCCCTGATGGGGGGAGCCATGCTGGACTCTTCTCGACCGCTGCTATGGTAGAGCAATGCTTCATGTCAGCCAGAGCCATAAGACCGCTCTGCAACTGGGTGCTCAAGCTTGCTTTTCTGATGCTGACTTAGCTAAACCATGGGTGTTTGAGCCCAGTGGGGGAGACCTACTCCCCCAGCCCCGCCAGGCCAGCTGGCTGCCAGGGGGTGGGCAGCATCTCGCCCTGGCCAGCCCCTCAGCAGGGTTTCCAAGCGCGGGGTTGAACTTGGGGTTTCTCCGGGAACTTACTTTTGCTGCCATATGGCCTGTCTCAGCCTGGGAGACCTCCGGGGAGGATTTCTTCTAATGGGGGCTGTGTCAAAGATCATGCTTTCTCAGCTGTCACACCTAAAGGCCTCCATCCTCCCGTGGTGAGTGCCAAAACGCTTGCCCAACCTGGGCTGTGAGCTGGCACGGTCCCACTAGCTCCAGCAGACTGGGGCTGCAGACGGGACCCTTGACGGTCCCTCGCGGAGCTTTTGGCAGTGTGTGCTTTAAAGGTTTGCTTGTGTTAGCGTTTTCCTTCGGCTCGTAAACAGCAGCAGCCGCTTTTCCAAGGCGGTGTTTGCTGAAGCATGGTGCAGCGTGCCAGTGAGCGCAGCTGAGAGATGCAGAGCAACATTCAATACGCTGCTTGCAGAATCACTTAATTAGCCATTTGGAAAACAAGATCTGCATATGAAACTGTTTTCCGTAGCAGAATATAGAGAGTGGTTTGAGTAGCCCCTTGGTTGCACTGGCTCTGGCAAGGAAAGCTTCCAAAAGTTTGCATATGTTCCCTCAGCTCAGCTCTCACTGCCCATTGTCCTGCCGCTGCAGCCCTGATGAGATACGACACGACTTAACGAAGCCCACGGCGTCAGGAGAAAGGGAAAAAAGCCTCTTTTGCATCAGGTAGAGGGGTGGCAGATGGCAGAACCACAGCAAAACAGGTGGAAGCATTGTGTGGTGACCCTCCGAATTAAGTTCGGTTAATTTGCTGTATCTCTATTAGCAACTAAAGTCTCCGGCTTCACTGCGAGATCTGATTGTATCTCACAGGCAGTCTGGCCACGCAGCCCCATCTGTGGCCGGCCACAGAGCTAAATCTGTCTTGAAGGCAACTGAAAAGCAGCTGAAGCCTCTTTTCTCTCTCCTCAGTAGCAGCAGCTCCCTGACCCGCACTGGTAATGACGGCAGGCGAGGCTCTAAAACTGCATTTTCCCTGCAGGTTTCCCAGCTGGAAGCAGTTTTCCTTCCCTTGCTTTGCCCAGAGAAGCAGGAAGGATGCCTCGGAGGCACATGGGTCCCTCCTGCTTTGCAGTGAGGAGAGAGAAAGTGGCTGTGCTGGGGATGCACTGTGGCTGCCGTCCTGGGGAGCCCGGGATGGAGTCGGACTCACAGTTGTCCCTCCGCCAGCTCCCAGCTGGCAGCTGCTGCTAAACCTTCCTTTCATTGCCTGCCAAAAAGCGTCTGGGGCGTTTTGCTCCCCCCCTGCCCTTTCATCCTGACTTTCATAATTCGCCAGGCTGATGCTTGCAATCCCCTCCGCATTCAGCATCACAGAGACAGGGGGCCCAGGAGCTGTGTCAGGCTCATCCGGGGGGGCTCAGCTCTTCTCCCCATGCTGGCAGACCCTCGGCCCCAAATGTTATCTGGGGACATGGGTTTTAGCTGCTTGGTGGTTTGAGGCAGGTTGGAGAGCACTGGGTTAACATGCAGGGGTTTAGGAGATGGCCACTCAAGACCTGCCTGCAGTTCAGTGGGAGCTGCCACCGCAGGAGGACATTCTTAGCCAGCCGGAGACATGTTTCCTGCACGTAAGAGCACCAAGTTGTTTAATTTAAGTTTTTGGGAATGAGACCAAACATCAAACGGTGTCAGTGAGAGATGACTAAGCCCCGTCACTGCAGAAGGGGCCGGCAGCTGGCCAAGGCCCTTCCTGGGGCAGTGTGGGGGGCTGCCCACCGGGTGGTCCTGGCCACCACTGCTGCTCCTACACCATGAGCCCCACAGCGCAGTGCCAGGGGCCTTTCAGCTCCATTTTCCCTCAGCTCTGTGCTGTCCCCATGCTCATGTGGCCCCATTCCCATTTTCAGCAATCCGCTCCCTCGGTCTCCTGCCTTGCTCTGTCTCACGTGGGACCTTTCGCCAGCTCTGCTGACCTCCCAGCCATCCTGTTGCTACATGAAGGTCCCAGGTCTGGCCCTTTGCTCAGCGCTGCAGAAACGCACTGCCTGCACTGCTGAGCAGGACAGCACCCCAGCAACACTCGTGTGGTGGAGCCATGTGTTCCGGGCTAGCGTTTTCACTCCCCTTTCAATCTGCTGGATAACAAGGGCAGCGATTGCCTTTGCAAAGCAAACGCCAGCTTGCACATTCCCCGGGGTGGCCTCTGGTCCAACAGTCACTGCATTTTCCCAGCAGCACCCGGTCCTGTGTCGCTGAACTGACCCCAGCACTCCAGCTGGCCCTGCTGTTTCCAGCTAGCGCAGGCAGCAGCATCCACATTCACCTTCCCAGGCCAGGGCATCCCTGCCTGCACTGCCCCGGACACCTGTGGGAGCAGAGCCCCCAGCCTCCAATGCTCTGCAAGCTTTGGCACACTCGGCTTTGCCTCCCTGCAGAGCAGAGCAAGAGCCCGGGCTTGCCCCAGGTCTGTAGGACCTGGCTTCCCTGTGCACCATCAGTGCATGCTGCTTGCTTGGCCACAGAGCACTGTGTCCCCGGAGAGCGCTGGCAGCAAAGCAGGGGCAGATGTGGGGGCCACAGGATGGGGCCATGGACAAAGCCTGCACCCCACGCAGGACTGAGCCCAGCTGTGGCAGGGTTAGGGGCTCCGGGTAAGCTGCTGGCAGGCAGCCCGTGCCCTGGCAGCACAACCACGAGGCACTAAAACCACCAAAAAAGCAAAACCAGCAATCAGAGCTTGGGGAAGGGCAGGCAGGCACACCACCCCATGGGGGCACAGGGGCTCTGAAGCCACCCTGGGGCAGTGGGACCCCTGTGTATATGAGACAAAAACAAACATTTTCCCTATTTTATTTGGAGGAGTTTCTCCATCCCTGATGGAAATAAAAGTGGGGTTCAGCTGAAGCAATCCCTGCTGGCATTCGGGGTTTGACTTTGGCCGGCGCCTGGGAGTGTGCAGGGCAGCCAGGAAGCACGGCCCCGGCTTGGTTTGGCTCCAGAGCCAGGCACTGAGCCAGCGGCTTTCCTAACCGCCCAGGTCGCAGGAGTCCGGCCGAGAGCCCGGCTGGGTGGCACTTCACAGGTGGTGCAGACGAGGGACAGGACTTTCCT